AGGTTTTCAAGATGCAAGATTGGTATGAAAAGGCCTAAGTGTACAAAGTGAACTATCAAGGGAGGTGGACTACTAAGAATCACTTAAAAACCAAGCCTTTTCAAGTAAAAATCACTAAGCCTTTTCAAACTTTTCTCACAAAACAATTTTTCACAATACTTGTGTGTGTGTGCACGCTTATCTCTTCTCAATTTTCATCACGTCATCTTTTCACATATCCATTGATTTCTGTACATTTGACAATTTTCAAAAACAAAGGAAGAGAATGAAAGGGAAAAAGAAAAAATTAAAGGTGTGACCTGTTTAATTATTCTATACACGTTATTTGAATTCATCTGAGAGAACTGAATTGAATAATTATAATTAAGTATCTAATGGGGGAGACCAGTTACAAAGCGACCATTCATTGTGTTGTGGAAGCAAACTAGAAATTATCATTTGCATGCCATAGAACTTTGACTTCTGAAGGGGAGTGTTTCACTATGATGTCTTTCAGCAACGATGCAAAATTGTTCTTTGTTTTGTTCATACTCTGTTGTTATGTGTTGAAAGTTGGTATTGCCATGGACAGCATCACCTCATCGCAATCCATGAAGGACCCTGATATACTAAGTTCCAAAGATGGTAACTTCACGTTGGGATTCTTCACCCCTCAAAACTCCACAAACCGCTACGTTGGAATTTGGTGGAAGTCTGAGTCCACAGGCATAAGGGTTGCTAACAGAAACCAACCATTGAAAGATTCTTCTGGAGTTGTTACCATTTCTGAAGATGGCAATCTTGTGGTGCTCAATGGACAGAAACAAGTCATTTGGTCAACAAATGTGTCCAATTCATCAACCAATACAAGTTCAGAGTTTTCAGACTCGGGTAAGCTTGTACTCATGGAAACCACAATGGGAAAGATCTTGTGGGATAGTTTTCAGCAACCTTCAAATGCATTATTGCCTGGATTGAAACTTTCAAGCAACAGAACAGGTACGAAAGTAGAACTTACATCATGGAAAAGCCCTTCTAATCCCTCTGTTGGGAGTTTCTCTTCCAGTATTGTTCAACGCATAAATATAGTTGAAATGTTCATTTGGAATGAAACTCGACCATACTGGCGCAGTGGTCCATGGAATGGTGGATTCTTTGTAGGGATACCGACTGTGAGTACTTCTTACCTTTCTCGTTTTCTAGGTGGAGATGATGGGGAAGGAAATATAGATATATATTACAAAGTAGGCAGTGAATTTGTAATCTTTATGTTGAATTCACAAGGCCTATACGAAGAAAAAATGTGGGATGATGAGAAGAAAGAAATGGAAGTTATATGGACTAGTCGAGGATCGGATTGTGATGTTTATGGTATATGTGGACCTTTCACAAGCTGTAATGCAAAGAGGTCACCAATATGTAGCTGTTTGAAAGGGTTTGAGCCAAGGAACAAAGAGGAATGGAATAGACAGAACTGGACTAGTGGATGTGTTAGGAGAACACGTTTGAAGTGTGAAAGGGTCAAAGATCAAAACACAAGTATAGATACAAAGGAAGATGGATTTTTGAAACTGCAAATGGTTAAAGTTCCAGATTTTCCGGAAGGGTCCCCTGTTACTCAAGACATATGCAGAAGCCAGTGCTTGAAGAATTGTCCTTGTGTTGCATATTCTCACGAGGATGGCATTGGTTGTATGTCTTGGACTGAGAATCTACTTGACATACAACAATTCTCAACCGGAGGACTTGATCTATATGTTCGTGTGGCCCATTCTGAACTTGGTATGCTATGTGCTCAAACATTTTAAACAGTTTCTTTCGACTGAATTCCTTATCTTTTAAATTTAAATTTCCCCTTCTTCATGTTAGGGTTGTTTATGATATTTGTTTTTAAGGGATATATTTATAAGAGGAGGGTTATACTTTATTATTTTTATTGGAATATTTGCATACATAATTATACAATAGTAAGATATTATTTCCTTTAAACTTTTATTTGAATTTGTTTTTGATCATCATCCAAAAAATTTCTAATCAATAAAATATATGTATATTATATAAATTCTTATTTTTTGATGTAAGACTTAGTTTCTTCCGTAACACTTTGCAGGTAAAGGAAAAAATACAACAATCATTATTACAATTACAGTCATAATAGGAACTGTCATCATTGTTACTTGTGCCTTTGTCATGTGGAGGATTTCCAATCACCCGGGTAAGACACTATCTGTACTTTCAGAATTAGTCTTGTTATTTTTATTTGTTTTTGGTAAAGGAGCTAACCTAACATTATATATTTTCTCACTCCAGCTAAATTATGGCACTTAATTAAATCAGAAAGGAACAGGAACAACGAGGCTATCCAACAATTTAATAATGGTGAATCATCAGAACATCCAATCCACTCAGTCATTGAAGAACTGTCACAAGTTAAACTCCAGGACATGTTACTGTTTGATTTCGAAAGAGTTGCAAGAGCAACAAACAACTTCCACCTGTCGAACAAACTTGGGCAGGGTGGTTTTGGTCCTGTGTACAAGGTATCTTCAAACAAAATTGTTGTATTTAAAACCATTGTCTATATTTGTTTTCTTAATACTTTTTTTCTAGGGGAAACTGCAAGATGGACAGGAAATAGCAGTTAAAAGACTTTCCAGAGCATCTGGACAAGGTCTAGAAGAATTCATGAATGAAGTAGTGGTGATTTCCAAGCTTCAACACCGCAATCTTGTAAGACTATTTGGCTGCTGTGTTGAAGGTGATGAAAAGATGTTGATATATGAATACATGCCAAATAAAAGTTTGGATGTGTTTATCTTTGGTTAGTTCTTTCATGCTCTCCTTTACTATTTGACTCATCCAATTCCAAACTTTTATGGTCCCCTTTATTTGTCATATATACTATTTATTTTTAATATAATAACTAATTATTTTCTAGCGAGTGAGTTTCAAGCATGTTAATCAAGGGATATAGAGACTCAAGAACTTCATAACTTTCTCTTCTGAGATTATGTGCAGAATAGTATAACGATACCCTTATATTTTTAGATCCATCAAAAAGAAAACTCCTGGATTGGAGGAAGCGTTGTAGCATAATAGAAGGAATAGCTCGAGGTTTGCTTTATCTTCACCGAGACTCTAGACTAAGAATCATACATAGAGATTTGAAGACAAGCAATATCTTATTAGATGAAGAGTTAAATCCAAAAATATCTGACTTTGGTATGGCCAGAATCTTTGGAAGGAGTGAAGATCAAGCCAATACTAACAGGGTTGTGGGAACTTAGTAAGTATGATTAATTTCATTGTCTAATGTTTGAGTAAAATACATGGAGAATTGATTTTTTTATGTTTGAATACAGCGGCTATATGTCCCCTGAATATGCTATGCAAGGATTATTTTCAGAAAAATCAGATGTGTTTAGTTTTGGTGTTTTGGTACTAGAGATTGTTAGTGGAAGAAGAAACTCTAGCTTTTATGAAGATGAGCATGCTCTTAGCCTTTTAGGATTTGTAAGTCTTGACAATTCATTTCTAACTCATACAATATTCTTTGCCTCTTGCTGATACAACTTCAAACATTTACGTTTTCCTTTTAGGCCTGGATACAATGGAGGGAAGGCAATACATTATCTTTAATAGATCAAGAAATTTATGATCCTGGTCATCATAATGATATTTTAAGGTGCATACACATAGGACTTCTTTGTGTACAAGAACTCGCTATAGTGAGGCCCAGTATGGCTGCAGTAATTTCTATGCTTAACAGGGATGCTGCATTACTTCCTCTTCCAAGTGAACCTGCATTCATTCTGCGGCAAAATATGTTGAATTCGGCGTCATCTAAAGGAACTCATAGTTCTTACTCTGTCAACACTATTAGTACTACGGATATTTGTGGTAGATAGCAAAATAAAAGTTATAAGCAAGGTGATCATGTGAAGTTTTGCTCAGTGTAATTGTACCATGATTATATGCTGTACAAGAAAGTAATTTTAAAAACCGTGGCCACAGTTGGAATGGAAATACGAAATCTATCAAAATATATGTAATCTATGAATGCCAAGACTCCTTCTCGAAACCTACACATAAGCATAAGCTAACCATAGACTATTTGACAAGTCTAATTAATCACGTACACCAACTTATTTAAAAATTATACAAAATCATGTCTTTATACAAAATATAATAATGCCAAAAATATTTAGGAGGGATTAAATAAAATATATAAGACTTGTTTTCCAACCAAAAAACAGTTGAAGAATACTAAACTATGTGAGAACTAGAACTGAAATATAATAATAGTTTAACTCAAGCTTAACTGAACTGTTAAATAGTTCATGTGAATCAAACTAAACTATTTTTTAGTTCAATTAACTGCATTTTAAAAGCTTGAATTGAACTATTTTTTTTACTCTAAAACAATTTTTTCTTATGTTTTTGAATTGAATGAAACTTATTTAAACTACATCAAATCATTCCTTTGAACCAAAATTAGTTAAAAATGGTTTTTCAATTTCATATCAACCATATTCTACATTTTCTGAAGCATAAAAAATATTAACCATATTCTTACTCTTAGACGGAATACTTAAAGAAAAAAAGTGACATGATAAATAAGTGATATATTAGTCATAAGAAACCTAAATACTAATTATTAATTTAGATAACATTTATAATTATATTAGTACATAATATATAGAAAGAGAAGAGATGCATTTGCTCCAAAAGTATGTTTACCTAAACTTACTTTATTTAATAACTCATATTTCACATCAAATTTCAACAATCCACCATTAAATAAAAATGTTTTATTATATAGATTAAGTCTAAAATATTAAAAAAATTTGAAACTATTTGATATTTTGTTTCACTAATTTAAATCAACATATAAAATATTTTTATGAGTATCCGTCAATTTTAATTAATGAAATGAAATATCAAATAATTATTAAATTTTAAAAAAAATTATAGACTTGATTTATACATTAAGAACTTTTAATTTAAAGATTAAATCATTAAAATGTAATATAGAACATGAGTTATTGAGTGAATTAAAACTAAATAAACTTATTCTGGAGGTAAATAAATCCCTCTTCATACATTTATATATATTAAAAAGTTTGTGAAAATTAAATTATTTCAATAATTAATTATATGAATAATTGATAATTGATATAATCGATTATAATCATAAATCAATTTTGTTTGGGTAAGTTTGTGGACAAGCGATTTTAACATGTTTAATTTTATTTGGATACAATAAAAATAATAGTAAATCAACTTAAAAGGAAAAAAAAAAGTTGTTGACAAATGATAAGTTTCAAATTTCCAACTTCTTAAAAATAACTTTTTTTTAGAAGGAAAAAAATCTTTTAGAAATTTGTTATTGTACCAAACATATAGCTTTTGTTTTCAAAAAAAAAAAAAAAAACAGCTGAAACTGGTGTACGTACTTGTGATTTAGCTTTTTTGAATAATGATTTATTAATTAAACTAATAATTTATTAACCCAACCTTATTATATTTGATATGGTATGTCATGAAATGCACACACTTTATTTCAATTTGAATAATCAAGTACTTTGATAGTATGACAAATTTTTCACACTTTGATATTAGATAGGTTAAATTATATTTTTTATTCATTATTCTATATTTTTTAGATTTATTTTAATTTTTTATCTTTTAAAATGTTATTTTGGTTGTTCATTTCATAAATTTGAGTTGATTTAGACTTTATTAAAAAATGGTTCTTTTAGATTTTGAGATATTATTTTAAATCATTTTTTGACTAGTTAATGACTTAAAAATTTTAAATTCAACTAAATTTCAAATGAAAAAGTATTATAAATATAGTAAAAATTATGTAAAAAAATGTCCAAGAAGAAATTGAAGTAATCCAATTTCATTTTATTTTCTAGGTATTCATAAGATGTATTTTTTTACATAATTTTTTATATATATTTATAATATTTTGAATTTAAACGTCAATTATATTTCATAATTTTTATATTGATGAATTTAATGTTACAAGTTTTATTTTTTTAATTACTCAAAATTTTGTTATAAAATTGAAAAAGATCAAAAGAACAAATCAATTTAAATATAAATGATAAAGGACAAAAATCAATATTTTAATATATAAATGAACAAAATAAATCTAAAAAATAAAATAAAAAATAAAAACATAATTTAACCTATTAAATATGATATACACAATCATTATCTCCTAATTAAATATATTTTTGTTTCTAATAACTGATGTATTCATCGAATGTACATATCAAACTGGTCACTATAATAAAAGTCACCACATATGCAATATTGAACATAACAATTGTGCAACTCATTCTAACAATTTTCTTTTATAACTCAAGTGCACCAACTGAACTGCATTTTATAATAGTTTAGTGTTTTAAATTAAAGCTGAATTTAAAATAGGATAAAGTATATTTGGATTTTAAAAAATATATAGTTGAGTTTGCAAGTCGTTCAGTTTTTTAGTAGTTAGTTCAAAATTGTTTTTTTCTCTTATCAATAAGAATCAAGGAACTAGTTCTGAATAAGTCTACATAAACGGCCCTTTTAGGATAAATACTACAAAAGTTAAAACATTTAATATAAATTTTAGGATTTAACTCCTCAAAAGTGAAGAGTTCATTTTAAAAGATAAAGTATAATAATAATTGTTGATTAAAAAACTAACAATAGAAAATTGTGAAAAAATTAAATACATATATAATAAAATTTAAAATTAACTATAATATTTACGGTTAATTTTTTAATCAATGATTATTATATTTTATTTTCTAAAAGGAAATCTCTTCACTTTATAAGTGTTAAATTCAAAATTTTAATGTTTAAAAATATTACTCACTTCAGTTTATTACAATATTCTTTGTTGTTAAAATAGTAAATTTTTTCCTTTATTTTTTACTATTGTAATTAATTATTGTTATTTGTATTAGTGAATAAAGTTCTACTATAATTATGTTTACTTATTTCAGTGGATAATATCTTACTAGATATCTAAGTTTAAGCAAATCTACACACTTCATAATGGTAGAGAGTAGAGACATGTGTTTTACCGACAGTATTTATAGATATTATGTATATATAACTGTCATTTTTCTTGTATTTGTCTTATATAAGAATAAAAAACATGCAAAATAATATAATTATATAGTAAATAAAAAATTACTTTGTTTCCTGAACTTTCCTCTTCTCTGTTTTATGGCTTTTATGCTTTATGCTTCCACTGCATGCCCTAACATTTGTCAACGAAGTGCATGTATTTACAAGTTTCAACAAAGTTTCTAGTATATTAACCTTATATCCATTGCCTTCAAAAACCTTCTTTAGAGCTCTTAGTTTGCTATCTACCATATATATCTGTAATACTGACGGTATTGATGGAGCAGAATCTAGGACTTTCTTCAAATGACCTTGAACTCAACATATTGATGAATGCAGGTTGACTTGGAGGAGGAAGAACCGCAACCTCACTGTTGAGCATGGAAATTACTGCAGCCATAGTGGGCCGATCTGTAGCATGTTCTTGTACACACAGAAGTCCAATGTGTATGCTCCTTAAAATATTTTTATGGTGACTTGGATCATATATTCCTGTATCTATTATGGATAATATATTGCCTTCTTTCCATTGTATCCAAGCCTAAAATGCAGAAGAAAAAAAGTAAAAGCTTGGAAGTTGTATTACCAAAAGGAAAAGGTTCCTGTACATGAGTTAGAAATGAATTGTTAAGAGACTTACAAATCCTAAAAGGCTAAGAGCATGCTCATCATCATAAAAGCTCGAGTTTCTTCTTCCACTAACAATCTCTAGTACCAAAACACCAAAGCTAAACACATCTGATTTCTCTGAAAATAATCCTTGCATTGCATACTCAGGAGACATATAACCACTGCATTAAAATGTAACAGCTCATTTTCCACTATATATTACTATAGCATTGGACAAAGAAGGCATACTTACTAAGTTCCAACAACTCTGCTTGTGTTGGCTTGATCTTCAGTAGTCCCTCTAAAGATTCTAGCCATACCAAAGTCTGATATTTTTGGATTCATATCTTCATCTAACAAGATGTTACTTGCTTTCAAATTCCTGTGTATGATTCTTAGTCTGGAATCTCTGTGAAGATAAAGTAGTCCCCGAGCTATTCCTTCTATTATGCTAAAGCGCTTCATCCAATCTAGGAGTTGGTTTTTTGATGGACCTAAGACATGTAGGTAACATCATACTACTTGGAACATAATATTGGAAGATAAAACAGTGTCATTCAATTCGTTCTATTAGCATGATATGAAGAAAACTAACTCATGAAACAATTGTTTATGTCAAAAATATTTATATATACTACATAGGGAGACTCAAAAGGGTTTGGAATTGGATGAGGCAAATACAAAGGTGGCATCAAAGAACTAACCAAAGACAAACGCATCCAAACTCTTGTTTGGCATGTATTCATATATCAGCATCTTTTCATCACCTTCAATGCAGCAGCCAAGAAGTCTTACAAGATTGCGGTGTTGAAGCTTGGAAATCACCACTACTTCATTCATGAATTCCTGTATCCCTTGTCCTGATGCTCTAGAGAGTCTTTTAACTGCAATTTCCTGTCCATCTTGCAGTTTTCCCTGGAATAAAATATTAGGAGATAACAACTATAGACAATGGCCTGAAATATGATAACTTTCAGTTACCTTGTATACTGGACCAAAACCACCCTGCCCAAGTTTATTGGACAAGTGGAAGTTGTTTGTGGCAGTTACAAGCTTTTCCAAACTAAATAGTAACAGTTCCTGGAGCTCAACTTGTGACAGTTCTCCAATAACATTGTCACTCATAAGTTCATGTGATGTTTCACCATTGTTAAATAGCATAGCTTTGTTTATCTTTCTCCTTGTTGATTTAATAGATTGCCACAGTTTGGCTGGAGTAAGAAACATAACGTAAGCTTAGTTCCTTTACCAATAGTCAAATAGAAAAGAAAATTAATATGACTAAAGTTGGAACCACAAAGATGGTACATTACCTGGGTGATTTGTAGTCCTTCTCCATATTAAATATACACAAACAACAATTATGATGGTTCCTATTATCGTTGTGATGGTAATGATGATTGATTTGTTTGATCCTTTATCTGCTATACCAGAAAAAATTAAATTCAAGAAATTCAGTCCAAACCCAAGAGAGATAGAATCAAGTTAATGAACTATTTTGCATGTTTAAGTATGTAACATCTAACATACCAAGTTCTGTGTAGGCTAAACGAACATATAGATCAAGTCCTGCACTTGGGAACTGTTGTATGTCAATTAGATTCTCTGTCCAAGACATACAGCCAATTCCATCCTCGTGAGAATATGCAACGCAAGAGCAATTCTTCAAGCACTGGCTTCTGCATCTGTCTGGTGTAACAGCAGACCCTTCTGCAAAATCAGGAACTTTAATCATCTGCAGTTTCAGAAACCCATCTTCCTTTCTTTCTGCACTTGTGCTTTGATTGTTGTCCCTTTCACACTGCAAAGGAGCCCTCCTAGCACACCCATTAGTCCAGTTTTGTCTATTCCACTCCTCTTGGTTCCTTGGCTCAAACCCTCTCAAACAGCTGCATATTGGTGACTTCAGTGAATTACAGATTGCATATGCCCCGCATATACCATAAACATCACAATCCGATTCGTGACTAGTCCATTTAACTTGCATTTCTTTCACCCCATCATTCCACCATTTCAGTTGAGACTCGCCTTGTGAATTCAGGTTATAGATAAAAAATTGTAACTCATTTTGTATTGTGTAATAGACATCAACATTTCCTTCCCCATCATCTTCACTGCGGAAACCAGTAAGATATGCACTTGTCATCATCCACCGTATCCCTGTAAACACTCCACCATTCCATGGACCACTGCGCCAGTATGGTCTAGTTTCATTCCAAATGAACACTTCAAGTGTGTTTATGCGTTGAACAACACTGCAAGAGAAGCTACCAGCGGAGGGATTAGAAGGGCTTTTCCATGATGTAAGTTCTACTTTCTCACCTGTTCTTTTGTTACTTGAAATTTTCATACCCGGGAGTAATGTATCAGAAGGTTGCTGAAAACTATCCCATAAGATGGTTCCTCTAGTGCTTTCCATGAGTACAAGTTTTCCAGGGTCTGAAAACTGGGAACTAGTGTTGGATGTTGTTATGTTGGACGCATTTGATGACCAAATGACTCGTTTTTGTCCATTCAATACCACAAGATTGCCATCTTCAGAAATTTTAACAATCCCTGAAGAATCATTTAGTGGTTGGTTTCTGTTAGCAACCCATATAACTGTGGATTGAGACTTCCACCAAACTCCAACGTAACGATTTGTAGAATTTTGAGGGGTGAAGAACCCCAAGGTGAAGTTTCCATCTTTGGAGCTTAGAGTTTCTGGGTCCTTGATGAATTGAGACGGTGTAATGATGTCTATGGCAATACCTACATCTAACATATAATAAAACAGCATCAACAAAACAAAGAACAAATTTAAACAGATGAAGAAACCCATTACTGAGATGAATATAAAGGATGTATATGATCCACATAATATGAACCAGAGTACATCACATTCTTGTTCTTAAAAGATTTGACACTTCGCTCTTGAAGTCAACAGCTTATGGCAGCAAAATGAGAGATATTCAAACTTGCTCCCCTAACACAATTAATGCATGCTTTGGAAAGCGTATTCTCTGCCACTAAAATAAATTATCCAATTCAGTGCCATTATATGATACACATAAAAAGCTTGCATAGAATTCACTGACTTCATGTCACCTTTCATTTTGTTTTCTTTCCTTACTTCGTTTCATCCCTATCAACTTACCTCATCACATTTAAGAGAGTCATTTTTCTATTCAAACAATTGTCTTGGCTTGTGCATTGTGTAATTACTAAAATCATATCAGTTATGGATGTTTTCTAAATGTATAACTTTAAATAATTCATTTTTTATATCCAATTGAATATCGGCTAGTATAATGTAAAGTTAAATATAAAGATAGTTAATCAAATTTTTAATAGAAAAAACCAGGTGTAAAAAAAACCATAATTTTATATAATACAAAAATTATATTTTATTAATTTTCATGATACCAGGTCACCGAATATTGACAAGATCCTTAGAGTAACTAATAGAAGCGATCGATTTTCATCTTTGATTTTTTACATTTTTCCTGGATTTTATTTTCATCTTATCTTGATTTTAATTAATATATAATTAAATTATGACTTTAGTAGATATAAAACAAATTTTGTTAGTAGAGTAAAATAAGTATATCACTCAAGTTAAGGTCTATTTTAAAATAAATCATATCGTTATAAATAAAATATTATATATTAAAACAAAAAATATATTATATTGATTAGAGGTACAATTTTATAAGAGTTAGTTAGTAGAGATTAGAGAGTTTTTAGTTTTGTTGCTTATATTTCATTCTCAAATTATTGCGTTTTCAACTTATCTTTCTTTCTCTCTCTTTTTTTTTTTGTTTAATTTTCTCTTCTCTAAAATGATGAATTCTAACATGATATTAGAGCAATACCACTCACCTTGAATATTTTTGTTGATTGCGTTATATTTTCATCTTTTCCTTTTATTTTAGAAAATCAATCTTTATTTGTTCTTTTTTTGTTTTTATCATATGTCTTCATTCCTTCGTCATTTTGTTTATTGCAATTTTACATGGATCTTATTTGGAGCAAGAATGCAAAACTACATCCTCTGCATTTCTATGTAACAATCCACCACTACATGAAAAGTAACCTATAACTATAGATATTTTGCTTAGCAAACTATAGATATTTTGCTCAGCATTTCTAGCTTATCCCATTTTCTCAATTTTCAATGTGAAACCATGAATTCTAACAATATTACAATATTATTAAGTGCGTGAATCGACTAACACATAATTGTTTTAACTTAATTAATAGTCTCAAATTTCATTATTCAAATTATGGGATGTAACTTAAATAGAATTCTCTTCACTAAATAATATTTGTGGTATAGACAAAATAAAATTAAAAAATTATTATTGATACATAATTGTTTTAAAAAATTATGAATATATATATATATATATATATATATGATATTAAATAGGGACAATTTAAAAGCATAACTCAAATTTGTCCTTAACATGCTTTGGACCTCATTTCAAAACTTGATGTCAAAATCAACTTTAGGTCAAACTAAATTAGTAAAATGAGTCAAGTCTTGCTCACTCCTAATCTTAAGCCACCCTTATGGTTATGGAAAGAGTATGCATGTATTAGAATATTTTTATCCCCAAAGAAACCTTCTATTGCCAAAGAGAAGATGTAAAATGGATTCAACTAAGAGACAAAAAATATGAGATTCTCACTGAGTGTTGCCTACAAGGAAACAAAGAAAAAATAAGACATTATTAGATGATGACAATAATTTCAATTTTGTTTTAGATTGGACTTATAATCATATAATGGGAACTTTCACAATCCATAATGTTTCGACCTAAAATTTCAATTATTGATTGAAATCAAATTTTGAGGCATATACTTGATATACGTATGTGAACAATGAACAATAAAATACACATTGGGTTAAAACAAAGTTCACTAGAAAAATCTGTCAAATAGTGACAAATTGTAGGGCCAGTCCCAACAATAATGCTAGCGTCGGTCGAGCCGACTCAAAGGGAAGACAACATTTTTATTTTATATTTTTAAAATTATGAAATATTTACCATCGTCCTAAGTCGATGCACATTCGAGGCAACATTTAGAATTCTATTGTTTATTTAAAATAAAAATAGAAGCATCGGCTTTAATTAGCTCATGTTAATTTGAATTTGAGGTCAATTTTATTCAACACCAACTTGAATTTAGCATCGATTCTTTCTGATCCATCCTACAAATATATTAACCACAATAATAATTAATTAATGCACTTGATGGCATGCTTTAGCATTATTCATTATAGCATAGTAGCATCTAATAATAAATGAGATATTCACAATTTTGTCTTAATGCTAAAATGTAATTAATGTACTTTAGACCAAAGTGATGAAAAAATTTGTAACTCAGAATTGGCTTAAATTTTGCGTGCAAGACCCTAAAATCATGAAAAGACAGCACACCAAATTTGAGAGCAAAATTCAAAGGATAGCTATATGAACAACTAAAAGAAAGTTTAGAAAAATAAGACAACAAAGAAATAGAAAACGGCCTCTTTTTGAAAATTCGAGCATGGCAAATGGACTCTGTCGATTGACAGGTTATAGATCTCACGTTTCTACCCCAAAACCATATATAATAATGCCAATTCTGACGGCCGGATCGAAAGTTATGGCAGTTCAAAGTTTTCACAGCCCAAAGTGATGAAAAAATTTGTAACTCAGAATTGGCTTAAATTCTCCGAGCAACACCCTAAAATCATGAAAAGACAGCACACCAAATTTGAGAGCAAAATTCAAAGGATAGCTATATGAACCACTAAAAGAAAGTTTAGAAAAATAAGGTAATAGAGAAATAGAAAACGACCTCTTTTTGAAAATCCGATCGTGGCCAATGGACTCTGTCGAATGGCAGGTGATAGATCTCTCTTTTCTACCCCAAAAGCATATATAATAATGCCAATTCTGACGGCCGGATCAAAAGTTATGGCCGGGAATCCCTTCCACAGCTCCTAAAACGCGCCCAATGTGTGAATGAGGAGGAGAGCCCCGAAAATGTCTTCAAATACGAGCTTGGGGAGTCATATTAGGGTTTACGGGCCCGGCGCATAAGTCTTCGCGCCCGGTGCAGGCCTTCCAGGGAATTTAAGCACTATCTGCCTCAGGACACGCCCGGCGCAATTCCTTTTACGCCCGGCGCAATGCCTTCCAGAGGTGAGATACTCTGTTTCGCTCAAGCCCGGCGTGGGTCATCTTGCGCCCGGCGCAGAACCTCTTCTCTGCTCCTTAGCTTCTTAGATTTCCAATCCTATGGGTCTTCAATCCTCAAGTTTCTAGCTCAATACCTGCACAAAAAATGAGGTGTATTAAGGTATTGTTAGCTAAATTTGGGCTAGTTATATCTGCACACAAAATGAACCAAAAAGAGAACAATTATATTGCAATGGTTCAGAGGATGGACCTCATGAAGAATTGAAATTTGACAACCACAATAAAAGTAAACCCTCCCTTTTTTAATTTCTTCTCTCTTTATTTCATTCTTACCAAACAAACTAACTTATTTCCACACACCCATTTCCATCCCTTCCTTCCTATTTCTCATCTACTTCATTGCAACCAAACAGAGCGTTAGAATATCCGTAATTCAGAGTATATAGTCAATCTAAAATCCTCTTTAGATTATACATAAAATATAAAATGAAAGGTAGTAATCATTAGAACTCGAAAATTAAAAAGAAAAACTAATACTTTTCTTTAAGTAATTAAAAGGATTATCATATTAATTAAGGAGATTTAAAAAATTTCTCTTGTAAAATTGGTGGTAAAAGCCTAAAAAGGGCAGTTTTGCTGTGTTACAAATCTTGTTTTTCTGATGAATTGAGTCACCATATAAACCTTTGAATTCCAGGCTCATGATCCCAATGAAATGGACGAAATAGAAACACCACCATTGTAAAGATATTGACACCAATATATAGTGTGCCTGTGAGAATCCAACTATGATCATCCCTATTGTTACAATGAAGCACCAGAAAATAGAATGGTATAGTGTAGTATCTGAACTCTATTAGTGGAGCTGGTACAAGAATAGCTGCAGTAGCCAAGAAGTATGCCAATAACCATATTTTACTTTTAATTTTTCCTGTTTGACAAAGGATAATTGTAAAAACTCAATGTTGCATAATAGACGACCTAGATCACACCACTAACATGGAAAACGAAGTAGCATTAAGACGACTGATCGAGCAGGTCGAACAGATGCGGCAGCAACACGCAGCAGATCTACAAAGTATGCGTGCCAAGCACGAAACTGACCTAGCCGCGATGCGGACCGCCAATGAGGCTGACCTAGCGACTCTGCGCACGAAAAACAAAAGGATTCGCGCTCAACTCTCGCAGCGACACTCTAATCACGCCCCTCATACAAACAACCACAATGAGGAAGAGGAACACTCCACTCTCCCCGACCAAGGTCGAGGAAAAGGACGAGACAAAGGTCATGATTCAGGAGCTCGCACGGACCAGCCCTCTACCTCCCAACTTAACCCCGGCGGAGCAATGCGAGCCGAGGTAAGCTAGGAAAAAGGGCCAACTCCCCTACAGGGAGTAATCAGTACAATCGCGGGTGATTTCGCAGGAGGGGGCGCTAGTAGCTCGACCCGGAAAAGACACCTGCGCAACGTCAACCACATACACTTTACCACCTCAGCTTCGCACCAGAGCGCACCGACGATTACTTTCACAAATGACGACTATGCCGGGGTCAATCCCAACCAGGACGATCCCATGGTTATAGCCGTAGCGTTAGCCAATTGGGAGTTCACAAGACACTGATCGACCAAGGGAGCTCGGCCGACATCCTGTATTGGCCAACGTTCCTCAGATTAGATGTCCCCCACTCTCTCATACAACCTCACACAGAGCCCCTAGTCGATTTTGCAGGAAGAAGCATTCACACTCGGGGGTACGTGGACCTACTGACAACTTTCGGAGCACCTCCGGATACAAGGCGGGTCATGGTTAGATAC